GATCATACAGATATCTCCACAGACTCTCTCTCCCTTAATTTCTCCTGAACATTATCTCAGTCATGTGGAATTCAGTACTATTATGTCAATCAAAAAAGAAAAAAAAAGATACATTGTGGAGTGGGAGTTGGAAAGCTACGTTAAGTCTGAAACTGACGTCAGCCGCCATCCTTTGACACTTAAGCACTGAGATTCATTGACTACAGATCCAGGCCCCCACCTTTCACTCTTTTCCACCAAGTTATTACTATCAGATCTAATGAGTGCCCACCACAACACTCATGCTCCAGGTGTACTAGATACATCGAGGATAAGAGAGAGAATTCAAATGGGGGAGAGGAAAACAATAGCTGCACTGCGTGACTAACATATCAACTCCTTTTAAAATAATGTGTTTGAATCCAAATGCACCCTTACACAACTCACACAGGCATACACAAATTATTTCTCCTTGCAAGACAGCCCAGATTTTGTCCTTGATGTCGAATCCCAAAAGAATATTTGGAACAATCAGGATATTTCAAAGTATCGAGACAACCAGAAACAAGGTGGGAGTCAATTTATTTATTTTAATGGATTTTATTTAATGAGTGCTTGTATAGTGTCTGCCTAGACTGTCACATACATGATTTAGGGGACTTTACTTGGGTCACACAAGCAGGCAGTACCAAGGCTAAGCAGGAAGTACCAAAGCTAAGCAGGAAGTACCAAGGGAAACAGGAAGTACCAAAGGTAAGCAGGAAGTACCAAAGATAGGCAGGAAGTACCAAAGCTAAACAGGAAGTACTGAAGCTAAACTCCATCATTTCATACTTAACTGTAGCACTCTTCACGATAGTATTGTTACCCACTGCCCATGATCACAGGGGTTTTTCTGTGAACTATGCAGTCTATTTGTCAACACATTTCCAAAATTCTTCGTTATTTTTTTTAATTGAAAGAAAGCAATTTTCAAATTGCAATAATAGCACTTTGCCTACAGTGATTTTCCCAATTCTCATTAGTCTGGCAGGTTGTTCACCTGAGCCATTTTCTTCATTAAATACCATCCTGCAGAATGCACAGCTACTGACTAGTTTATGGTGTTATCATATGCCATCTTCTAGACATTTTTAGGTATCAGTGATAATTTCTGATCATCTCCTCTAAAAATGACCCAAAAAGCCCATAACATGTCACAGAAATTGCATATTTAAGATTTTTATTCCTTTCCATTTACTTCTTTAGAATTACGAGTAAAGATATCTTTGGTTCATCTGTCACCCGAGTCAATTTGCAGCATGAAATGCCACCTATCTTCAGAGAGAAAGTTATGAAAACCAGGAAGCTGCTGGAAAGTAATTACACCAGACCAGCTGAGTTTCTGTTTGTTGGATTCACCGATGACCTCCCTCTCAGGATCACCCTGTTTGTGGTGTTTCTTGTCGTGTACTCATTAACCGTGGCAGGGAATTTGGGCTTAATAATATTAGTTCGTATTGATTCAAGCCTCCGAAACCCCATGTATTACTTTCTGAGCAATTTGTCCTTCTTAGACATCTGCTACTCTACAGCAATCACTCCCGAAATGCTGGCGAACTTCGTGGCATCCAGGAAGTGCATCTCCTTCCGGCTGTGTGCTGTTCTTCTTCGCCTGCTGTGCAGATACTGAATGCCTCCTCCTGGCTGCCATGGCCTGTGACCGCTTTGCAGCCATCTGCCATCCACTGCTGTATCCCACACTGATGTCCCCCAAGGTCTGCCTGGGCCTCGTGGTGTTGGCCTACTTCAGTGGAAGTGTCACCTCGCTGGTGCACGTCTCCCTCACCTTCAGGCTTCCCTATTGTGGCTCCAATGTCATTGATCACTTCTTCTGTGACATCCCTCCTCTTCTGGCCTTGTCTTGTGCAGATACCTACGTCAACAAGCTGCTGCTCTTCTCCTTGTGTGGCTTCATCCAGACCTGCACCTTTGTGGTGATCTTTATCTCTTACATCTGCATCCTGGCCTCTGTGGCACATCAAGTTGGTGGTGGTCACCTTATTCTATGGGACCCTCCTGTTCATGTACCTGCGCCCCGCTGCCAGCTACTCCCCAGCCTTGGACAAGGTAGTCGCTCTGTTCTATACTGTTGTCTTTCCCATGTTTAACCCCATCATCTATAGCTTCAGGAACAAGGATGTCAAATGTGCACTTACAAAACTATTTAAAAGAGAGTGAATTTTCAGATGAATAAAATCTGAATCAGGTAATGATCTTTTCAATACATATTTTCAGTATGTATTTTTTTCAATAGGTACTATATGCAAACAAGATGTATCTTGTACATCCTTCTTACATATATATTTAAGGGAAAGTGATTGGATGGCTGCATGGACAGATTATTAGATAAACTAAATATTTTTAATTCAGGAAAGAGAATGTATCTAAACTCTGTACTTACAAAACCATTCATTAACACAGAAATTTTATATTATTGATGACAGCAGGCAATGCTAGTCACATGACTCAGGAAATCGTAAAGGAGGCAGTTTAATTATCTGTTTTGTATTGAGTCAGTGTGAAATATCACATCATCTATTTCTCTTTAGAGGAGTTGATTACTTCAATAAGTCTCTTATGCTTTTATTCATGATTAGCACTAATGTCATCCCAG